AAGTAAATTATCAGGAAATCATAAAAATTCTCTTTGAACAAAGGTTACATTTCTCCACCCCAAGTTTATGTTGTTCATAGCTGAGACTCTTAGTGTCAATAAGGGAAATTCTACCATTGCCCCTAAGCTGGCTACAAATCAAGGCCAGCCTAATGAGCTTCTTGGCATGACTTGAACAAGGAAACTGCGTCTCTGTTAGCCATTTTCAGGGATTAGAGGTTCCTCAAACATTAAATATTCATTCTCTGGTATTAAAGTCAGTGATCCCAGTTAAAACTATGGGAGGGACAGCAAGAGGACCAAACTGTCCTCAATATAATTTGGTAAATTAATTTTATAGGGAGTGTTTCCCAACCTTACAGCTGACAGGTTGGAGACCATTGCATGACTGAGGAAAGGCAGTAATGGGAAACCAAGGAAGAGGGCATAAAGAAGTTAGGAGATCAGAGCCTGAAGAGGGGCCAAAGGCAAACTTGATGCTCTGAAGTTTTGGAGGGCCAGATCTGTAATTTACTCTTTCCTTTGTTATGTATTTTTTTAAGTCTTTGATATATTTCAACTCTCAGATTAGAACTTTATTTTATGCATCTCAAATTATGCCATTGTAGCTTTCTGGGAAAAAAAGAAGACATGTCATCATTTACTTTTAACTACCAGACTTGTGAAGCAAATATATTCAATTAAAATTAATCAGTTATTCCTCTAGTGAATCTTGGAAATACCATTCTTGGTCATGGCACCTTTTATTCTTGTGATTGGTGGGACAGTTTTTCAATAAGCCAGTCATCAAACCTCCATTATCTTTTGTAATCTAATGTTGGCTTATGGGGATCAGATCCACCTAAACACTCTTTCCCAAAGTGTTTTTCTTGAAGCATTAACTTCACCAGGTGGCCCTCAAAATAAAAATTTGTCCTCAAAATATCCCTTGGAAATTTACAGTATACATACATATGATAACATTCTTGAAAATGCCAGTATAAAAAATCATTTTACTTAACTACATTTTCCAAACTAAATTGACCATAAGATGATCCACATTTTATTGAGACAGTTCATAAAGGTAGTGTATTCTTGAACACACTATGTTATTTTAAAATGTAGTCAGATATAGAGACATGAGGTTTCACATTCACATGGTGTTTATGTACTAATTATTGACAAGAGCTTTCATAGAAAAGTAAACAGAGAGCTAAATTCACCTCCCCTATACTGTTAGTTCCTGGGGGAGAAGACTCACATGTATCCCATATATCTTTCAGATTGTGCCAATCATTATGTTAAATGCTAGGGATTTGGACAAGGGTTTTTTTCTTTCACCTTTAAAAATCTTACAACCTCGTGAGGGGAGATAAACATGTATACAATTTCAATAAATATAGTAAGTGCTCTAATAGAGCAGTCACAGAGTTGTTTGTTTTTAAGGCAGAGGAAAAACTAGATCTTCCTACACAAAATAGGAAAAGTCGCACAAGTGACTTTGACCTGAACTTTAATGGATAAATAGATTATTGACAAGTAGATTAGCACAAATTAGATGTTCATTAGATGTTTACTGGGTGGATAAACTCTATACACAAGTTGATATTTTTAATGACATCTAGTTCCATTGAGCAAAATAAAATAGAGCAAAAGATGGGAATAAAATAATTTAGAACCTATTTCTAATGAATATACAAATTAATATATGAAGTTCTCTTAACGTTAGGAATATATCTAACCTGAGAAACAAAAAGGAAAGTAATAAATATCTTAGTAACATTCTTTTTATAAAATTTTTATTAAATTTATTGGAATGACATTGGTTAGTAAAACTGTATAGGTTTCAAGTGTACAATTCTATAATACATCATCTATGTATTGCATTGTGTGTTCACTACCTAGAGTGAGTTTTCTTTCCATCCCCATATATTTGACACCCTTTACCCTCTTAGTAATATTCTTGTTCAGTACACACATTTTTCTGAATTTTTCATACAGCTATAGAGAACAAATATCATCCGATGAACTATTTCCTTACATAAATGGCTGAGATATCCAGTAGAGGGCATTTTCCCAGAATTCTATATGAATTCAATAATATCCAGGCAGAGTTGAATCTTCAGGCCAAAGCTGAGTCAAACCAAGATAGTTAACAGCAACAAGGTGAAAAAACAAGGTGAAAAGT